TGTTAGTCAGATAATCACAGGGTCAGTGTACAATTACAAAAGGTGTTGAGTGTTTCAAAGAGAGGTTCTGGGCAGGGTTTTTATGATGACATTTAACAAAGGAATTTGGCCTCGTCTTTGGATTGGAGGACGAGCAGGAAAGATCCAGCAAATGTTCCAGGCAGAGGGAGTGACATATGCAGAGGCCCCACGGTTCATTCCAGGAACTGTCGGGACACTGTATTGCCGGGAGTGATGGGGAGAGTAGTACAAGACAGCGTTGCAGAGCTTGGCAGGGGCCGGCCCCAGAAGGAAGGCACTGCCTCCTTCATACCTTCTTTATCTGGCTCATTCAGACTCACTCCCTAGGTCTCAGCTCAGGGATTCCTTTTCAGGAAGCCTTTTCTGCCCTATGTAGGCTGAGTGAGGCCTGTGTACTTTCTCTTAATAAGAAAAAGTATCTAAAACTTAGAAATAAGGAAAAAAAATGGCACTTTCACTCATTGCCATACTGTGGCATTGTTTTAAAAGGCCCACGGAAGGATTAGTTAATTCTATGGGGAATATACTTGAGTTTGACTTTGCTCTTTGTTTAGAACTCAGGTTTTATAAAGTTACATACTAATTTGTAGACATTTTTCGCAGGAGAGGTACAACTGACTTCTGTCTGTAGAAAGGATAACTCCAAAGGTATGGTTTTATTGTCCTGTAGTACATGAACCAGTTTTATATGTAATCTAAACACATATTCTCATATTCCTTTTTCAAAAGCCCGTAAATACCCATTTAGTCTTGGAATCAGCTTTCCCTTCCTGTTGGCTCACTTATTAATGTGTTCATTCTGTAGTTGTATGTATCATGTTTTATAACTTCCTGAAAGTCACATGCTGACACCCCTTGTCTTAGCAGCACTCACGCTCGTATTGGGATTACCAGATGCTCTGGCTCCCTCGCAGCCCATGAGCTCGCAAGAATGTAGCCCATCTTTTGTCAACATTGAATCCTCAGAATTTTGCACAGGACCAGATTCGCAGGAGATGCTTGAGAAATAATTACTGGCTGAATGAGAAGTCTTGAGCTTATCTCTTTACCTCTGTGAGCCTCGGTTTTCTTATCTGAGAAATGAACGTCAGAGCACCCAACTCCAAAGGATGTAAAGGTTCAGTGAAATAAAGAATTCAAGTGCCCGGGGGCCTGTCTGGCACGTGGAGGTCTTCAGTCCCTTTTCCCCAGGGACTGGGTCCCAAATGTAGAAAACGAAGTTCTGGTGTCGGACACTCATGATCTGTTTGGGGATGAGGGCTAAGTCACCTGGGGGCGACTCACTGTGGAGCCAGGGCAGTCACAGGAGGCTCTACCTAATATTGGTGGGACAGGAAGACTAGCCCAGTCGGGCAGGGAGGAGTAGAAAATGTCCTTAAAAAGGGCAGGTGTATTAAAGGAAGAGGATCCTGAAATCCAGGCCAGGTTGTTGGATTCTCTGAAGTTGATAAGAGTGAGCAGTCCGGGCTGATGAGGAAGGGACTTGGCAACTTTATTTCAGTCAGGAGAGGAAGCCCATTATTGTTGAGCTCTCTGAGAACCTAGCTTTGGGGGGGTGTGTGCATGAGAGAGAGAGAGAGAGAGAGAGAGAGAGAGAGAGAGACAGAGAGAGAGAGACTATGTGGGTGTGAATGTGTGAGTATCTGGGAGTGAAAGCATATGAATGTGAGAGTGTGATTGTGTGTGAGTATATGCAAGTGTGTGAATAGGTGTGGGTGTGAATGCGTGAGTGATTATATGTGTGATTGTGTGTGAATGCATGAAAGTATGGGAGTGTGCATGTGTGTGGATGTATGTGGGGTATAAGAGAGCATATGTGTTTGGGGATATGTGTGTGTTGACTGCTGTCTGCCCCACTTTGCTGCAGAATCTTAGATCTAGTCTCTATTTAACCTTCACTATAAGTCCCTGGAGTGAGGACATCTACTGCCCCATTTCCCAGGTAGCCAATCCAAGGCTCAGAGGTGAAGCGATTTGCTGAAGTCACAAGGTGAGGATTGTGTGTGCAGCTGCCTCTATAACCCTGGGTAGAGGGAGGAGGGGTGTGGGTATAGGGTGAGTGGGGAGTGGGAGAGAATAATTAACGGAGTCTTAGTAGGTGAAGAAATTACAGATAAATGGTTCATGCTCACAGCCAGCCTTGGTCTTCATGTCCAATTCAGCACTTTTTCTTTCACAGTTTCCTACGCTATTTTGGTCTCTGGGATGCTATCTTTCAAATGAATTCAGCAACACTCCCTGAGCCCCTCACCTGAGCCAGGCCCTGGGCTGGCTTGGGGACCAAAGATAAGACATTGCCACCATCTTTAAGGAACTGTCAGGTTGGGGCAGGCATCAAAGTTGGGGAGTTGAATCCCCAGGGGCACAGGGCACCAGTCTTTTTAACACTTTGAGATATAACTTACACACAGGAGGATGCAGACATGTTATGTCTGCATTGATGGATTTTTACATCTGCAGATCCCTGTGTAACTACCACTTAGATGAAGATACAGAACATCTCATAGCCCAGAGGCTCCCTCCTGCTCCTCCTCATCACTTCTCCCTCTAAGGACAGCCCCCTCTGACCTCCGTCACCCAGGTTTTGCCTGTTTCTGAACATCTAGAGCACATGTATTTTGAGAAAGCACTTTCAATTTCATAGTCTTGCTTCCAGAAAATAAACCCAGACCCTGGTTAAGTACAGTGCCATGGTTAGGGGAGGGTGCAGTGGGGACCCCAGTGGTGGCAGGCCAAGCCCTAGGGAGGCCCAAGGGTACATCTGCTCGCTGGTGACCAGGCAGAAGACCAGGATCACCCTGATGCTCTGATGCTTTGGGGGTGATACCATGTGGTGTTTCCTGGCTCCTTATAGAGCTCAGTGTACCCCAACACTTTTTGTGGTCCCTGCTGTCTCTCCAGCAACCCTCAGACCCCCACCTTTCCCATCTGGTGCCCACCTACACCCACAGGTGCACCACTCCTGGAAGGCGGCCCTTGAACAAGATGTATAATCTCTCTGTGCTTCCATTTCTCTGTTAAACAGAGTATAATCATAGTGCCTACCCGATAGGTTTGTTAAGAGGATGGAGTGAATTGATATGAAATAAGTTAATATTTGCAGAGTTTAAGAGACTGTTGATACACAGTAAGTGCTTATATAAAAATTAAATAAAATAAACTTGATCCAATCTTGGCTGGTGGAAATATGCTAGAAAACACAGGGGCTTTTCCAGCTGGGCATTAGAATCTTGAGAAGGGGGCAGAGATTTTCCTGATCATCATGTAAAGTGGGCAAGGGCTGCAGATGGTCTCTAGATCCTCACAGAGGGGGTGGTTCCTTACCGTTCTCTTTTGCATGAGGAACCCAGATTTGGTGCCTGATAAATGCCAAATGCCTGACTGACTTCCTAGCGGGCGGGAAAAGGATCACTTGGCTCCTATCAACTTAGGTTTCACCTACCAACCTACAGCTCTGGAGATCCAGGTGGTGGAGGAGCCAGGCCCAGGTGTTACGTGAAATACATCCCCCAAGTCTCCTTGCCTGGACGCGAAGTTCTTCATCCCCCACCTTCCCAGAAAACAGAAGGCATTTCCCTGCTCACTCGGCCTGTATTCATACCTTGAACACCTTATCCCTGCAAGCAGCACAGAGAGCTGAGTTCTCCACCACAGCCAAGGTCCTGGCCTGTGAGCCAAGTGACCTCTGAGCCTTGCAGGAGGCTCCTTACATCAGGTGTCCTTTAATCACATGGACCAAGCCAAGGGCCCAGGGATGGTCCCAGGTGTGCTTGTGGATCTGAGTGCAAGTCCCAGCTTGACTAGAGATTTGTTGTGTGAGATTAGCTAGCTCATGAGCATCAACTTCCCTTCTCTGAAAAATGGACACGAGCACTGCTAACAGCGATGAGAATTAAACAAGGCAGCACAGCGTGGTGGAGAAGAGCCAGACTTCTTGGGTTCAAACCCTGGCTGTGCCATGAGACATTGGGGAAATGATTTAACTTCTCTGTGCCTTGGTTTCCTCATCAGTAAAGTAGGGATAATAAGAGTTCCTATCTCACATGGTGGTTGGGGGATTAAATGAGTTAATAACTGTAAAGCACTTGGCATATTACTTATCATATTGCACAGTCGGTAACAATACATGATGTATTGATATGAGCTCAAGGATTAGAAGTTGGGCACTGAAGTAAGACAGCTGGAGTTTGAGTCCTAGCATTAGCTGTGTGACCCTGTATAAGTTTCACCACCTCTCTGTGCCTTGTCTGTAAAATGAGGTCAGTAATATTACCTACCTTGAGTTGTGGGGTTTATAGCAGTTAATCAGTGAAAAGTGCCAACACATACTAAGCACTAAATATTAATATGATCGTCATTAATATTCTTAATATACTAATGGAGGGGAGGTAAGGAAGCTAACATTTATTGAGCACCTACTATATACTAACATGAATCACCTGGCAAGAATATTCCAGGACAAACATTAGGTTTCTGCATTCAGTAGAGAAGGAAGGAGATTCTGCTTCTCCAAGATCCCACCGGTGGTGAGGGGTGACCAGACCTTGCTGTACAATGTTTAGGGTGGGGAGGAAAGACCCAATGCTTAGTGAAGTACTGTGTACCAAGCACGAGGCTTTGCACCCCATGACACCCTTTAATACCCACAGTAACCCTGGCTGGGGATATTACTGTCCCCACTGTGCTGATGGTGGTCCTGAGTCTAAGAGAGGTGAGTGGTTCGAATTTCTGCCGCTATGAAGTGGCAGAGCCAGATTCAAACTCAGTTGTCTGTTGAAATTCTGCTTATGCAGGTGTCTTGGGCACAACCTTACACTGACTCCCTCTGAGCCAGAGAAACAAAGTCTTTGTGTCTATATAAAACCCAAGAGAGGACCAGACACTGCAATCATTGCCAAGCCCTAGGGCCACATGTGATCCTCTCCCAGGTGACAGCGGGACACACTCACAGAGACAAGGACACTCAACACCCAAAGGGGTCGTTGTTACCCAGAAATCTTTATTACAAAAATATTTTGCAAGCCAAAAAGTTTAAGTTGCAACTATATACAAAATGGGGCCTGTTTCCTTCCCAGCGTCTTAAAATAAACTCCCGATAACCACGCTCCTTCCGCACTGTTGTTTTAACCTCTTCCTTTTCCTGGGGTTCGATACACAAGGTATGAGACTCTCCAGGCTGCCAGGATGGAGCTAAAGCTACATGGCTTCCTTGGCCTCATTCCTTTACTCCTCTTCCAAAATTCAAAATAAAATTAAATTAAAATGGCACCAAAAAAACATCCTTTGAAGATTCTGTGTGAGTGTGTGTGTGTGTGTGTGTGTGTGTGTGTGCGCGCGCTCACGCACATGGGCTCTCTCTGTGCTGAAGCGATGGAGATGAAAGTTTGCAAGTCAACCTTTTGGAATTTGGAAAAAGCCCGAGCCAGGTGGCTGGACCACTGCGCTCCCAGATGCCACAGAGACACTCTGACTCGTCGGGCCAAAGCTGCCCACATGGCCTGTTGGCTCAGCTCATTCCTGGCTGCCATTATGTAAAACACCAAATCACTGCCCCAAGAGAGCCGGGTGTGTGCTGAGCTCCTGGAGTTCCACCTGTAGGACATGCTGACAGGCAGGATGGCTCAGCTTCTCTCTCCAATGGCCCGAGCCAGGAATCCCTTGGGCACCAAAGGGCTGGACTCAGGTGGGTGTGTGTGGGGGGCAGTGAAGATTAGTGTCTCAGCTCTAAGAGCTGATCAGTTACACGTGAAGACTGAACACACACAGAATGCAACATTTGTTTGCCCTGGGCCCAGCCAGGCCCCTACACTGAATTGGAAGGGTGGGGCTCAGAGGATAATGGGTCACAGTCTCTGCCCAACCTCCTGAGATAGAGGGACAGCAAGGCGGGTCAGTCTTGACTTCACAGCTGCCCAGTCCTTCTGGCTGTCTTGGATTTATTCCAGTTTGATCCCAATAGGGTTTGAGAGTAGAAATGGAAGATTCCTCCTGTAGAGATCAGCTCAGAGAGCTGGAATGAGGGAAGGTTGCTAAAGGGGTGGGGGAAACAGCCAGGCACAGCTTACTACCCTGCATGGCTCTAAAGTGCTTGCGAGCAATGGTGGGGGAGGCGGAGTGATGGAAGGCATCTGTCCTCTCCCCTCTTTCTGGGTGAGCGAACTGAGGCGTTAGGTCTCAACAAGACTGCATGGTGAAGGAGGCAGCCTAGAGAAGCACTGGCAGGTTTGGACTTACCACACAGCGGGCAGGAAGGCAGTCGTACCAGCCACGTGGCTCGGCTGAGAACGTGGCCGATTGAGTCCTGGAGAGAAGTCTAAGGGTCTCCATGGAGCAGCCAAACTGGAACCTTCTTCCCCATCCTCACGGCTCTGGGGCACAGATGAAGTTAGTTTCTGTCGTAAGATATTCCCTCCAGGAAACCAACTGCTAAACCTTAGACGGCACAAGACCCAACCATGTACTTCAACACGTGACAAGGAGCCAAGATAATGCTGCTGTTGTTTTAGGAAAAACAGAACAAAACAAAACACCACAGATCAAATTTTCTAACACCTCAGTTTCAAGATTGCACATTTCACATTTCTCAATAATTTACAGGTGTCCACAGCGAGATGTTGCTGAGTTAGTGCTAGCTGAGGGAAGCAAGCTCAGGTTGAGAAAAGAGAGGTGGGTCCGTATGGAGTGTCACTGCCAGGATGCTGGGTCCTCAAGGAGTCTCAGAGGGCAGGAGGAGGAGGGCCTTGTTCCTCAGTCCTTGGTGGTGGTGGAGGGTTCCTCAGAGGGTCCTCTCCTCCCCAGGGCTTGTGGCTCATCAGTCCAGGGATAGGGAGGCCAGGACAGTTGGTGGCAACCTCACTGAGTCTCTGGATGCAGTCCCAGATTTTTTTTTTTTCCAGCTTCTCCATGAATGGGGCAGTTCAATCTAAATAGAAAACTTTTCCCAACGCTCCCATTGGGTGGTGGTGGTGGTGGTGGTGGGAAGAGGAGGTAGGGTTTTTCTCCCTCCACACCCTGGAAGATCAGCCTGCAGAGCATCAAGAAGGCAGTCAAGAGTTGCCAAGACCCACGGTTGATGGAGAGAGGCATGAGAGTTCTTGGACCCCCAGTGGCTCTGACCAGTTCCTAGGGGGGTTCCATGGCTGATCTGGCAACATCAGCCTCCATGTGTGGCAATGTGGGGGGCTGTGGCTACCCTGGAAATACTGGAGAGCCAGGTGAGTTGTGGAGACAAGAGCTAGCCTCATTCTTGGGTCCCAGGACCGGCGCCACCCCGGCCTTCCGGGAATTGGGCTGGCTGTCTTCATTACAGATGCCCCACATGGGACAAGAAGGCTCATGGGCACAGACCCAGAGACGATGTAGGCCCTCTTCACTTCCTCTGGACCTGGACACTGGCATACTCTGAGTAGGATGGCTCAGGCTTGGGGGCTGGCTGCTTGGGGGCCCGGTTGAGGTGGACCATGTCCAGGTCGGCGTAGGTGACAGTGTCCTCAGACGGGGGCGGTGGGACAGCCTGGATGCTGGCATACTCTGTGTGGATCTTGGGTTCGGTGGCCTGGGGGGCTGACTTCTTCCTCTTGGGCAGGTTCAGGTCTGCATATGTGATGTCATTGTTGTCCTGGACCTAAATGAGACGAAGGCAAGGTCATTCTGGAGCTCCTAGCCTCTCACCCACTCAAAGGTACCACATCTGAATGCTTCTGTCTCCTTCCTCTTGGCCTCCACTGACTCAGCTCTAATTCACACTCAGCTCTTCTCTGGCCAAGGTTAGTTGTCTCCAGCCTTATCCTCCAGCCCACCTCCCTCCTCTCACAGCCTGAAGGATCTTCCTAAAGGCTAGTATGGTCACCTCAATCAATGTCACCTCCCACGATTCTGTCCTGCCCTGCCAATGCTCCTTCCTCTGCCTAGCATCCGTTCTCCTTCTTCTCCTCGTAAGGAAACCCAATCCACCCTGTGCATTTAAGCATGAGCATCACTTCATTCTGAGACCCTCCTGTTGGCTGGGTCCAGGGCTCCTTCTCTGTGCTTCCTCAGCCCACGTTTCTCCATTAGAGTACCCATCATCTAGGACTGTGACCATTTGGTGGTCCGAGTAGATGCTGATCCCCCAGTGGGTGGGGACATTTCTTCATTTGCTCATTTATCCAGCAAATATTCACTAGGTATTTATTTGTATGACTCAGAAACAAAGGCTGGAACAGAAGAAGCCTAATCAGTGTTGAATGAATGGCAACAATTTCAGCTGGATAAGGTGAAGCTGGGGACTGGGTGACAGAGAATGAGGCATGTGAGAATAAGACACCAGTTATCAGGGCGGTAAAGGTTCTGCAGTCAGAAGTCTGAGTTTAAATCCTGGATCTGTTCTCTCTAGCTGGGGGACTTTTGACAATTCCCTTAACCTTTCTGGGCCTCAGTTTCCCCATCTGTAAAGTAGGGATAATAATTATATCTATCCCCAGAGTCGCTGTGAGTATCGGATGAGACCACCCAGGTAAAGCTCTTAGAATGGAGCCTGGCATCTACTGAGTGAGCACATATGTTCCATAAATGGTCGTAATCAACCAGCAAACCTGAACATCTATCTCCCATTTGCTAATCTTATCACTCACGACTGCATCTTAAAGTTACCCATCAGGAATGATACACTTTGCTCGTTCCATGCCCCACACCTATGCTGCAGAAGCGGGGAGGAGCTCCTCACAATGGTAACTTCTGGTGGGTACACGATAATAACCACAGATCTCAGTTCTCGAGGGCTTAGAAGCACCATGCTATCACCTGGATGGCCCTCTTCGGGCCCTCTCACAGCCCTCCTTGGTAGGAATTATGTATTCCATTTTACCGATGAAGAAACTGAGACCCAGGGAGGTTAAAAAATTTGGTCAAAGTCACGTAGCTAGAGATGAGCCAAAGTCTGTTGGACTCTAAAGCTGTGCTCTGACCATGCAGCTCCTCTGTCCCGAACCCTGAACGCTCACACTTCTCTCTCGGAAACCTTCACCGACAGCCTTAAATCCTCCTCCTGACAAAGGCTGGCACCTGGCACCAGGCATCCCAGACACAGGGCTGCAAATTTCACAAGAGCTGGGTCGTGGCTGCCCTGCTCACTGCCCAAGGCCGGGCACATAGTAAGTCTTTGCTGACTAAATTTTGCACAGGTTTTAGTGACCAGTTCTTTTTACTGTCATTCTTTCCCCCAGAAGATTCCAGAAAGAAGTCCAGAGGTAATATGACTGGGGAGAAGGTCCCCCTGTGCCATGATTGGAAGTTGTCTTCTAATTACCACCTGAGGTCATGCCCAGGGCTGCTGGGGGGCCGCACTGGATCAGAGGAGCAGGCCACAGCATTCTGGTCTACAAATATCATGCCTTTTACCAGCCCTGTCTCTCTTCAACAGATTACATGTAAAATGATGACAACAGCCAGGAAAATGTCAAGGACAGCTGGTGCCCTCTTGTTCCTGGTTCAGGGCAGAGCCTGTCTTGTTACAAGACGCAGGGGAGCTCTCTGCCTCCGAGGTCTGACAACGTCCACCGGTAAGGAGCAAGGCTGGGTTTTCCGGAAACAGGCCAACCATGCTGCCTGTGAAATCTCCTCGGCAATGAGGAGACATTGCCAGCTGGAGGGAGTTTGTCCTTGCAGGAGGTAATTAGTGACACAGGATCTTTCCATGAGCAAAGGCAAGAAAGACTGGCAGCACTGTGTGTTACTCCGTGTGAGAAACAAGGAAGAGCTCGGGGTGAGCTGGGCAGGGTGCTCCTGGCGGAGGGGCTGGCCTGGGGAAAAGCATGGAGGCAGGAGGACGCGATCCGCACTAAGGAAGACTGCAGCCTGGCTCCATGTACATAGAACACATTGCGAAGGGTGCTCCCCGGCGTTGTGCAATGGGTGGCACTGAGTCAAGGAGGTGGAGACAGACTCTCTGGAGCAGAGGGAGAGAATGTGCTGGAGCAGAGGGAGAGAATGTGCAGAGGACAAGGGAAAAACGCACCCTCCCACCCTGGGGAAGGAATCTTAATTTAGAACAGGATCTGCAACTCTGCTTGATGCAAGAAAATCACACCACTGAGTTTCCCAGGAAGGGCGCCTCAGCGAGGACTGTACCTGGGTTATTTCTCTGGCGTTCTTCTCGGGCTCATGCAACCTAAAAAAGGAAAGAGACACAAAGATAAAAATATCCTCCCTATCTCAAGCACTCATGTAAATTGATAAGAATAACATTGAGGTTCCATTTCCTATATGGGTGGAGGACATGGATGAGTGGTTCACAACAGAAATACAACTGCTTATCGAAGAATGTTTGGACAGAAGAGTCAGTCTCACTAAAAGGACATTTTAATCAATGCACTATCAAACTTCTTTTTTTTTTTTTTTACCTCCTTTATCGGCAAGGATCTTTAAAAATTATAATACACGGTGCTGGGGAAGGTATGGTGAAACTGGCACATTCACACATTGCTGGTGGGAGGGGTAAGTCAGTACAACCTTTTTGGGAAGAAGCTTGGCCAAATCAAGAGCTTAGAAGGTGTTTTCATCTTCTGACTCATAATTGCATTTGGTGGTGGGGGGGTGGAATTCAAAATATAGAAATAGGCACAGAAGCATCTGTCGAAGGGCAGGGCAGGGGAGGGAGGTCTGTATCTTATAGCTCTGCCAATTGGGACTGGTTAAGAAAATGAGAATAGACTCATAGATAAAGATTTAAAAGGTTTATGAAGAGGTTTCTTTTTTATTACAAATAATTATATTGAAAGATAAGCGAAACAGCAAAATTCTCAGTGGAATAATCTCAATTATGAAAAACGTGTGAATAACACTGGAAGGAAAGATAGTAAAATGCTAACAGGAGTGGTCTTTGGGCGGAATTTTTTCTTCTTTTTAGTTTCCCATATTTTCCAAATGTTCTATATTATACACATCTAGGTGTTATCACTGAAAAAAAAAGGAGAGAGAGAGAGAGAGAGGGGAACCAAGTGCCCTGGTTAATCAAAGAAGCTGTTCATGCACTTGATTCTGTAATTGGAGGCAGTGCCTTGGCTCACTGCAGGGTCATGGTCAAGGTGGTGAGCAAACCAGAGCCACTGGTTCTGCCGGAGTTGTGTAAATTCTCCAGTCGGCGACTCTGGGGATGTTAGCCTGGATAATGTCATAAATGAGCAATGGGGCTTGGCCGCGGGATTATTAATGGATTTGGCACGAGCACTTGGCTCAGAAAGCAGTTCGGGGGCATGACAGGCCCCACGTGGCCACACAAACGGCCCTCCAGGGGCAGGGACACTGTCTGGTAAGGAAGCTCATGCAGACGTATCCACACTCCTCCAGCTTCCAAGCCTTCTGGAGCCCCCACTGCCTTGGGTTCAAGTCTGACTCATCATCCAGCTCGTAAACCCCATGTGGCCCCTGCTGACTCCCCTCCCCACAGGCTCATTCACTCCTCTGCCCTCATTTACTCACTTAGCCATCCACTGAATATTTCAACAGGGCTGCACAATGCAACATACTTTATGGGTCAGCGATACCCTTGAATGACCATCTTGACCACTTTTTCTCTTGTTTAATTTTTGTGTATCTTTCCAGACTCAAGTATGGCTTCACACACTTGGGGAGGCTTCTGCGACAGTGATGACAGCATCAAACCTCCTTGCATATTCTCCCATATGGTTTATGTGTCTGTCTGTCTTCCTCTCACGTTTCCTCACCACATGGGTGCTCAAAAAATACTCAAAAGAGACTTGGAATGAATGCCAGCCAGGCTGCCCCAGGGCCTTTGCACACTCAGTCCCCCCTTGCCTCTTCATCTAGTTTACTCTTTCTCTTCCCTCAGATCCTGTTTCAAATAGTCCTTACTCGGGGAAACTGTCACTGAACCTTCAAACTCCATTCTCCAAACACCGAGTTCCTCTCTTTCACAGTAGTATTTCAGACAGGAAGAAATCATCAATTTTGTGTGTGTGTCTGTTTCTCCTTGGGTCTCTCCTATCTCAGTGAGTGGCACTGCTATTACTCAGCCCTGTGCTCATGCTAAGGAAGTGGGAACCACCCCTGAGTCTCCTCTCTTCTCCTTTACAACCCACATCTAATCCACCACAAGACTTGTTGACTCTGTCTCCAAAGTACATTTCAAACCCGAGCACGCCATCACCTCCACTCCCCCAGCTCCCTAGATCCCTGAGGTGCCTCCCTGTGACCCTGCTTCTATTCTGTCCCTTTGTACACTATTCCACATGTAAAATGCCTAGGTGATGTCACATCTTTTATTTTGCTCAAAACCCTAACCCCTTCTCCCCACACAGTTAAGTCCATCTCCACATTCCCACATGACCTGCCCCGACGGACTGCTCTAGTCCCCCATCTCTCTCTCCCTGGCCCACTCCACTTCAGCTGCCCTGGCCTTGTCCATGTTCATGAACACGTCCAATTGCTTCTGCCTCGGGGTCTTAACACTGACTGTTCTCTCTGCTTGGTCTACTCTTGCCCCAGATATCCCCATGGCTGGAGCTTTTTCATCTTTCCGCTATCTTCTAAATGTCACCTCCTCAGGCAAGCCTTCCCTGATTGCCCACTGTACCCCACTTCCTGCTCTGCCCCATGCCTAGCTGTATTTTATATAGTCGGCATCTGTATCATGCTATGTATTAACCTCCTGGCTTGTTTGGTCACCTAATGGACCGTGAGCTCCATGTGGGCAGGAACTAGGCCCATCTCCTTCATCACTGGAGCCCTGACACCCAGTAACAGGCTGGTGCCTCGTTAGCTCACTGTAGATTTTTGTAGGATGAATGAATGAATAAACGTCTCTCTCATTGGATCAAAAGTACCATGAGACCGAGGCTAGTGTCTTTTTTTATTCTCCTTTGCAATCTCCCAGCTTAAGGCCTGGCACTGAGCTGGGCTCCATCAGATGAATAAATGAAAGAATCAAGGAAGCCCTAAATATTCCAAGAATAAACGTAGTGAATGTCTGACAAGTGAACAAATGGCTAACTGCATGAACCCCAGTGCCCAATTAAGGGAGCAGACACATTTTTCTGTCGTCTGAGCTGGGGAAGATTACAGATGATGTTCTGCCTGTACGTTCCTAACCCAGGGGGTTGAAAATAGCCAGTCCCTCCACTGGCCCTGCAGCCTAAAGGGCCCTTTGAGCTCACAGCAGCGGCAGCCCCCTTGACACCCTCCCTGTGATGCTCAGTGTTACCCACACCACCATCCTCCGGAAAGTGTCTGATCCCAGCCAACCAAGTGGAAGCAGTTGCTACATGGGAAAACACCATTACTGCTCGCTAGCTATCGCTTTGCTTTAGAGAGATGAAAGGGAACAAGTGATCTCACGGCTCCCTGGGTAGGCTCACGCTGGAAAAATAAAAAACAGGCAGAAAACGGCTGGCTTCTCTGGGGAAGAAGAAATAGGCAGCAAGAGGCATGGGTACAGATAAAGAGCATCAGCTTGAGTGTCAGAGAAATCTGGGTGGGAGTCGCAGTGCCAGCACTTACAAGGTAGGACCTTGAGATTGTCACATGACTTCTCCGAGCCTCAGTTTCCTCAACCACACCCAGGGACAATAATAACCTGTTAGAACAGGGGTTCTCAAAGTCTGGCTTGGGAACAGTGGTATCCGCACCATCCGAGAACTTGTTAGAAATACAAGTCTCTGCATCAGAGACTCTGGAGGATGGGGCCCAGAATTCTGTGTTTTAACAAGCCCTCCAGAGGATTCTGTTATACACTGAAGTTTGAGAACCACTATTCAGTTAAATTGGAATAATGGTAAATCATAGGTTTTTGTTTTTGTTTTTGTTTTTTTGAGATAATTAAATCACCACTGAGCTAATATAGGTAAAAGGCATAGGTCAGTTCCTGGAACACAGGGAGTCTTCGATAAATGTTAGCTGCTGATGCTGCTGTTATTATTACTATTGATACTGCCCTTTTCTTTCAGAACTTATTGTTTAATTGGGGAGATAAGACAAGTAAAAAATAATGACAACAATAAAAACAAAACACAAAAGAGAGATACTTTCATATTTGGGGCCGTGAAGCCACTGAGTTTAGGGAGTCAGAGAAGGAGGAGGAGATTGCTGCAGTGGTTTGGGATGGCTTTCATTCATTTATTCATTCATTTGTTCATTACCGAGCACCTATTCCATTCCAGGCACAGTGCCACGTTCAGCAGCTATTAGCAGTGAACATGAGGGAAATGATCCTTGCCCTCAAGAGGGATGGGTTATAATCTGGGGATGAGTGCTGAGATAGCTGGAACACACCAGGATGTCAATGCAAGGGCACCAGGAGGGCTCACATGAGGGGCTGCTGATCCCGAAGAAGGCAATGCCTTTGCTGAACCCAGAAATAAGAGCGGGAGGCAACCAGGTGAAAGAAGGGGTGCTGCTCTAGCTTTCATGTCACACAACTCCGGGGGTCACTATTCATGGAGCCCACTGTGACTGCTTCCATCTGGAGTTGTGGGGACCTCGGATGGTGTGTGAGCAGGGGTGGGGGAGCGCACCTCAGGGCGAGGGGCCGGCCTCCTCCAAGGGCTAGGAGGAGAGCAAGGCCGCAGCGTGCAGGAGGAAGTGGAGGGAGTGCAGCATGGCTGAGCCACAGAATTTAAACACTGGGGAATGGCCAAAAGTGAAACTGTCCAAGTCAGCAGGGGCTGGACCACAAGGGGCCTGAGGGCCTCAGTAGGACATATGGACTATTTTGAGGGCCATGAGAACCACTGAAGGTGTTTAGGCAAAAGATGGAAGCCAAGTCTTGCCCTTGGAAAAGAGTGTACTTGATATACACACACGCACAGTATCCCCATTGCCTCCAACACTGGGATTCTGTATCCAATCTATTAGCAAATTTTCTTGGTACCACCCAAATATATCCAGAATCTGACCATTTCTCAGCCCTTCCCACCACCTCGGTCCAGGCCACCATCATCTGTTGGGACCACTGCAGCGGCCTCCTCCCTGGCCTCTCTGCCTCCACCCTCAATTTCTATAGCCTGGTCACCACACGACACTCAGGGTGATACTTTTAAAATTAAAGTCAGACCCTCTCCCTCTCATGGCTCCTCATCCCAGTAGAGATAAAACTCCAAGTTCTAACAGCCACAGGTCCTTGACTGCTGGCCTCCACTCCAGATGTCTCAGTCTCTGCTCTGGAATTCTGAAATCCACTAAGCTCTAAAAATTTCAAAGATTTGCAAAATCTGTTTTGTGGTAAAACCTGACCTGAACCAAAATGAAGCTATTTATAATTTTTGTTTATTGCCCTTAGTATGGATGCTCATACATTTCTAAGCAGATACATTTACATGATAGATTATGAGGTGCTGCCTCTACTCTACCGGGGTGAATACTGGGGGCCTTCCTAAAAGATGAAAAGTCTGGATGAGTAACATCTGACTGCATGTGCTTCAGCTAAGAGACCATGGACCTGCATCTCCTTGACCTTACCTCCTGCCCTTCCCCTCATTCCAGCTGCACAGGCCTTCTCTGTGCCTCCAGGCACATCTTGCCTTTCTCACCCAGCACATATCTCTGCTTCATAGCTCCCAGCTCAGGACTCTGATCACTACCCCTCCTCAGAGGAGGCCCCTTCCTCTACCTAACATAGCCCTGCAATAAATCTCCATCCCTTCGCTGTGCTTGATTTGTCACCATTTGACATGACATTATATATCATTTTACCTCTGTACTTACTGCCTGCTTCTCTTACTTGTGTCTGAGCCCCATTTAAGCCCAGACTAATTATTATTCACTAATTATTATTCACTGTATCCCCAGCACCCAGAACAGAGCTGGTGCATAGTAGGGTCTCAGTAAAAATCACTGATAAGATGAATCAACAAATGAATGCACCATCTGTGATATAATGTCATCGCCTTAGCCTCTGACCAGGGCATGGGCTTCAGGAAGGCACAGGTGCTTTCTATCCTACTCACCCGGTGTTCCCAGGGCCACCCGTGCCAAGGTACTCAATAAATATTTAATGAATGAAGGCAAAGTATAGGAGGCATGTGTAGGAGGCCTCGTCACAGTCCAAACAGGATTTAATAAGAGTCTCGCTGTCTGTGGACAGCACACAAGCAATTGGTGCCTCTGTGCCGAGAAATCTCCTCATTTGAGACCATAATTAAAAATGGGCCCAGAAACAAAACAAAACAAAGCAAAACCAAAAAACGGGCCTGGTATGAGGAGCTTAGAAAAGAAAGACACAGAAAAGTTGACTGGTACAGGGTCAGCGGGTATGGATTATACTTTGCAGTTTTGGGGGCTATCGAACAACTAAATAACAATTGCAAAAGCATCCTAGCCCAGCAATGCACTTACCTTGTGGAAGAAGTAGATCCCTTGGCTGAAAGAGAGAAGAAACGAAAGCCAGTTATTTAACCCATGCTTTTCTTATGTAACCTTTTTTTGGGGGTGGTGGGGGTGGTGCAAAGGTTTGCCTCCAGTGACATGGGGAGAAATTGTTGAAATTATATCCTTCCAAACACAGAAAACCCCATGCTTGCCCCAGTGGGGTGGCCCATTATCTCCCATTGAGGAAAACCAGTGTGCTGGGCCTTCCTGCCTTCCTACTTCTGGGAATTGCCAAAGGTCAGATCCGAAAGCAGCCTTCAGCCTGGGAGGGGCCACCTGCTCTACCTCTGTCTGGGCCTCACTTCCATTCACCACACGCCTTACCCGAGACCCTAGAGCAATCCTGGGTGCCAGTGTGGGTCCTTCTAAGCTGGGCTGCTAGTTGAGGGAGTGGGTGTGAATCCCACTTTGCCACCAACTTGTTTGCTGCGTGACCATGGATGGGTCATTTTCCCTCTCTGAGTTAGGATTTCAGCTTTCTAATTCACAAGTTTGGGCTGGACACGCATTTATCTTCATGTCACCACTTTCCAAAAAAAGATCTTGGGAAGAAAGAAAGGGTCCATCTGGTTCAGGGATTTTTAAACCTGTGATATGGGGCATCCAGCAGAGAAGCCGCCGGGGTTCGGCCACCATTTGAGTTGAATTTCACTGCAAAATTGTAATTAAAAAGCAACATGCACACTGAAATGTGCTCTGTACCACATGTTAACAGGCTGGAGGCTGCTACGATGCAAGAATTCTTATTGCCAGATTAATGCTTGGTGCCTGGACAGGTATCAGATTTTTAGGTGAGTGGGTGCAAGTTGGGAAGGCTGCAGCTCAGCATCTAATGTTTGAATGGAGGCTGGTGGGTTGAAAAGTTTTGGGACATGAGTTGTCTCAGGGAATTCAATGACAGGACGCCAATTGCTCTCATTTTATACCAAAGACACTGGATGACTCCTTAGGATCACAGACCTAGTAAGTGGTTGAGTTGAAATTAAGGTATTTCACTGAGAGTATTGAGGTAGAGGATGGGACCAATGAGGGAGAAGGGAGCATTTCATTAGAGTGGAAGTGATGTGCAGAGTGGTCTCTGGAGACCCACTGCCAAGGTTTGAATCCTGGTCCCATCACTCACCAATTATGAGACCCTGAGCAAGTTTAATAACTTTCCCATCCTCCAGTTTCCTCGTATGTAAATGGGGTTAGTAATACCACAGCAGAAGTCTGTAGTGAGAACAGTACCTGGCACATCAGAAGAGCTGAATGAGTGCTAGTTGTCCCTGTCACTGGAGCCTATGTTTGAGATCTAGGCTCTGTACACACAGCTCAGGGGCTCGATGACCTGCACTTTTGTCTGCAGCTCTCCAAATCCCCGTTCCTCCTCTAGAGCACTGGTTCACTTATGCCTAAGCCACAGTAATGAGTTCATATGTACTGGAAGTGACATGGTGCTCAGAGATGAACCTTTAAAGAGAGGTTGAGATTTCACCAATGGCTACCATGAATGCTCCATCTGATGGGCCGGCTTGTTATCCTTGGTGGATAATGGACCCTGCTTTGCCATTGAAGAAGGAGTCCTTCCTGCGCAGGGGCTCTCCAGAACTTTAGGGAAACCCCGGGTAGATCATTTGGCAGAACCTCTTCCAGATTCCAGAGATGTGGAGCCTGACTCTGGCCCTTCTGGATGGAAGCTTGAGGCTGGGCCAGTATTCACAGCTAAGTCTTTCCAACCAGCCCAGGATGGAGGGGCACCTAGGGGGCAGAGGTGAGGGTGTGCAGAAGAGACATGTATGTGACTGATGCACAACATGCCCATCCAAGCTCAGGCTGGGGGACTGAATGCAGAAAGGCAGCTCAAGACAACACTTCACACTTTGCAGGCTGTGGCACGTGGTAGTTCACAACCAGCATTTTTAAGAGAACTTAGTATAGAACATGACAAAAATGAAAATATCAGAGTTCTAATTTTATCCATAGGGGTGTGTATGTGTTGGGTTGAGACATGAAATGTATTTCTATCACTTGTAGTCAAATAAGTTCCAGAAACATTGGCCTAAAATTGTTTCCTCTGAGAATGGGAAAGAGAACTTGTATTTTCTGAGGACTGAGAATGTGTCATGTTATTTCCCATGAGCTTCTTTGGGTTCACACCATCCTTCAACATAGGCATTGTTATACCCATTTTACAGGTAAGGAAACTGAGGCCCATGGAAGTCAGTTAAACTAATTGTTTAGAGCCTATAAAAACCCTGGTTTGTCTGAATCTAAAGTCAGAAGCCTTGCCACAGTAGCAACTACACACACACACAGACACAGACACACACACACACACACACACACACACACACACACACACACACACGGACGATGTCCTGCATTTGAACTTGTATGCTCCCGCTGTCGAGTCAAAGACTGCACACTTTGCCACTGTGAGGGGAGCTTTCCAGGGAGGTGGCTCATGTTTCTGGCCTCACATATAATGCTGACGACAGGAGCTTATATTTATTGAACACTTGCTGTGTGAGGGATACTTTCTTAATGTTTTATGTATAGTCAGCCATTTAATCCTCTCAACAGCCTTGCAGGTAGGTGGTGGTATTAACCCTATCCCCTTCCAGTCTCCTGCCTAGGGGCTGGGCATGTAACTTGGGCAGGTCATAGGAAAGCAGAAGTTTGCCAGAGGGCTCCTGGGAAATATTCTTTCTTCCTGAGATCCTCTTGCCACCCTGACAGCTCCCTGCTTTCCACCTCAGTAGTGGTCCCATGAAGATGTGAGGCCTGGCACATTTATGGCCATCTTGTAGCCATGAGGGGAAGGCTGCGGGAGGGATCCACCCAGATTCCAGCCTGGTGAAAGTGCCATGTCAGCCATGGCACTGCTACCTCTGGACTTCTTGTTACTAGAGGTAAATGGACATCCTTACGGCTTACGGTGCCTACTATATAGCTCCAAGTACTCAAGTGGCTTCTCCCTCTGGGAAGGACAGCCCAGAGGCAAACTCCTGGGGAAGAAGCAGGGAATCCACTCACCTTTCTTCTGTCGGAATCGGAGGAGGTAGAGGGCCGCGATCAGTAGGGCCACCAGCAAGGCACACACCACACCCACCGCAATAAAGATACTATTCAAATTGTTATTCTCACCTAGAGACCAGACAGAATAGAGGCTTCATGCACATTAATTGAAAACAAAGAAAATTAAAACCCACTGCCTCTTTTCACCACGAGGCAGGCATCAATAACTGAGAACAACTGGCTGGGCCTTCTCAGATGTTTGGAGCCACATGGACATGTTCATGGGTCTGCACACACTTCCCCACGTGGGTTACCCACGGGCAGCATTAAAACCATGCCAAGATGCCAGGAGGAAAACTGTTTGGTGCTGACAGCCATGAAGGAACTCGATCTGCAGAATGCGGGCAGAAATCTCATTCCCTTGGAACATAAACATCCTCCTCAAATGAGTGAACCAGAGTGGCCACCATGTCAACACAGGCCCATCCAAAACCCGGAACTGTGACTGGGTATCACACAGTAGCCAGGGGGCAGAGAAAGGGACAGTGAGGAATAGCAGACATGCAGCTGACTAATGGACACTGCAGAGCTCTCGGGGCTGTCCGCTGATCTGTGCCTGGGACCTGGGCATAGGAACTCTGAACCCAGGACACATGAAATGGAGATGGGGACTTGGCTGGCTCCAGGGCACAGGTAGGGGATCCCACACTAGAGCATAGTGGATAGTCGGGACCAGGGTTCTGAGCTATGAAAACGGGAGTTCAAATCAATGCCCCTAGTTGAGTGACCATGAGCAAGTAATTTAAATCTCACTCTACACGCAGGCTTCCTCTTGTGTTATTGCGGCCAAGAATAATCTCTATCTCATTGGATAGCTCTGAGGATTAACTCACTCACTAACTTATCAACCAACCAACTTATTTTCATCCTTTCCAAAGATATTTCCTGAGTGCCTACTATATGCCAGGCTGTGTGCCAGGTCCTGAAGCTACAATGCTACAGAAGACAGCCATGGTCCCTAGTAGCTGAGACTCGAAGCTGAGAGTCAGAAAGCCCATTTCCTTCAACACTGCCATGAGCAAGTGGAGAGGCCAGAGGGAGACAATGACTTGTCCAGAGTCACCCAGCAAATCTGTGACCGAGCCAGAGATTTATCCACACATCCTGTCTCCCAGTGCAGTGCTTCTCCTATGAAAACTAGCATTGGTGACATCAAAGGGACACCTTGACAAGGTCCCAAGTCTTCTTTAGAGCTTCCCTATTCCCTTGAAGGTTGCATGAAGAAAAGAAATGCCTCTATTCTAATCCGTTTAAAGGGTCTGCTGTATAAGGCATAGCCATGCTAATGACAGTGATGGAGCATTCCACAGTGGCATCGAAATGCCAAACAGTGCTGCCGGTTTGAAGGAAGAAGAGAGATATATTGACAACAGGTTGGAAGGGGGCTGAGAAAATGAAACTCTGACACCTTTTACTCTCCCATGAGAGTGGCGGCATTACATCATCTTAAATGGGCATGCACTTTGGCCTAGAAATGCTCTTCGGGAAATGGTCCCACAGAAATAGCTGCACATGTAACAGAATATGTACAACGACATTTATTGCAGCAGTGATTATACTAGAGAAAAGTACAAACATCCTGAAGCCCCTGCCCCATTTCCAACCCCTGCCCCATTCCCAGTGGGGCAGGCTTGCAGTGGCAGCCAGGGACACTAGGAAGCTGTTAGAAAGAGCAAGGAGGCGGGTGGGGCAGACATGGAACGGTGAACGCAGTAGCTGGTGAAGAAAGCACGAGGCAGGACGCTGTGAACAGATCATCTCCCTCCTCCCTTCTCTCTGTCTTGAATGTGTATTGATGTCAAAAATCTATAAAAATGTGTACCAAACTTCTACCTGTGGCCACTCTTGGAGTGTGGGATTTGGGGGATGGGAGCTCACTTTGAGCTTCTGCGTTCTATCTATAGACTTCTAGACCATTCTACAATAAGCATGAATTACTACTTTTAACATTAAAAATAAAGATAAAATTTAAAAAAGCTGGGTCAGTGTAGTGGAAGCCTCACCAGGGGGTCCATTTGTGCTTTGGTTCTTCTGGTGAGCAGAGACCTCCACGGTATGGTTTTTGGTGACTGCTGGCTGCCCATCGTGCTCCACCTGGCAGGTGAGCATCACATTCTCCCTATGGGCAGATAAATTCACCAAGAGCCAGCTCATCCGGTTAAAGGTTCCGTCCTTATTCTCTGTGGGGGCCGAGGCTGTTTCTGTTCGGGACACGTTCCCATTCTCCAACCAGGTCAGCTGTAGGCGCTGGGGGTAGAACTTCTTCGCCTGACAGGTGATGTTCACCTGGTTCTCTGACAAGGGGTGTTGGGTAACATCCACGGTGGGCGGAACTGAAACAGCACAGCGCAGAAGCTCTGACCTCGTGGAACAGACAGATCATAAAAAAGCCCCTCGGACACTGAGAGTGCTCTTTGCATAGGAATAAAATCACTAAGCACAGTGCCCTGCACACAGTAGGTGCTCAAGAACCAGTAGCTTCTATTAGGGTAATGTGACAAAATCAACAAACACAGCCCCTGGCATGCAGTGGGAACATACTAACTGTAGCAAAATAAATGAAATGACCAAGAACACAGGGGCTTCGCTTACAGTAGGTGCTCGATAATTGGAGTGGCTATTGTAAAGTAAATGAAACTACCTACAGAATGGTAGGCGTTCACTTGGCAGCTGCCATTAAACAGTAGTGAGTGACAGCACATTCAGGTACCCGATGATGGAAAGGAGTGTCAGGAAATAGATTCTAGGCAATTCCAGGCCTGGAGCAAAGAGCAGGGGGAGGAGCAGGCCTGGAGGGCGGGGGCCAGGTATGGGCTGGGCCTGGTTGTGAGGGGCATCTACCTCGGATGGTCTCAGACAGGTTGGCAGTCCCACGAAGAGGAGGGCCCCCCTGCAGGGTGACATGGTCCACCTGACAGATGACTTGGGAGCGAACATCCCCCGGGACCAACGACACCTTGGCTGTGCTGGAGAGGCTGTAGGAAGCACTGTCTCCCTCTGGGTCCACGGTGGTCTGGGAGACTGGGAGCTCATTCCCATCTTTGAACCATTTCAGCATGATGTTTCTGGGGGAGAAGCCGTGGGACTTGCAGGTGAAGCTCACTGTCTGCCCAGGCTGCGCCCTCATTGTGGGGCCCGATACCACGGGGGGAGAGGGTTTGGCTACAAAAGGAGCATAATAAGCAATAAACATGTTTGTGATGATCACCACTAAGGATAAGCATGCAACACTGTTAAGGACCTTCTCATGTATTATTTTTTAAAATCTCTCTAATAATGCTGGGAGGGTGGGGTCATCATCCTCATCTTACATAGCAGGATACACAGGTCCCTAGAGGCGAACTCTGAGTAGGAGCAGGGCAACGAGGCAATTCCAGGCCTGAGTTCAAAGTCTACTTCCTCTCCTCTGCCAGGTGATTTCCCACCAAGCCGAGCACAGGAACAAAATTACTGATTCGTCTCACTCTTCGTATTAATTGTTCCTAGGTGACCTCCCTAGGAGAACTCAACTTCAGAGAAAGTGTTTATGGAAGTGAATGCTGGGGAAGCGGTGGCACAGTGGGACTGCTGTGAAAGCTAGAACCAGGCTGGCCAGTCAACCAGAGGTGTGACTGGGGCACAATCCCAGTCCCATCTGTGAAATGGGATAGTAGGCGTTTTTCATTCCTGGGCCTGCAGTGAGGGTTAAATCAGGCAACAGAAGCATTTTTGCTTTGAGTAAAACAGAAGGTGCTTCACGAAAATAAACAAACACAGATCTATCTGGAACCCAGAGTTCATTTGTATCCAGAGCTCTGCCTTCTGGAATTTATCGATTTACTTCATAGTTTTCATTCTTTCCACAGATATTCCAGTAGGGGCTAATTTGAGCCAATCACTGAGTTTAAGAGAGAAGGGATGAAGGGATGTTCTCTGAATCTGGGTTCAGTTGTGGGTTGAAAACAAAGATCACTGAGCGCTGAGAAAGCCAAAGGTGGTTCATTTCTTAATTGTTATTAAATTAGAAGAGACACAGACACAGGCCTATGAAACAGGCAGGACTTCTTTTGTGTCCTGAACGCATCCACACACCCGTGAATTAAAGTGAAGGCAGTTGTTCCCTATAGAAGGGTCCTAAGGGTGTTTCTAAGTTGTTAATTATTATCCAACACCTTCTGTAACAATGGGCATGCAGCGAATATGACAAATATTTGCATTTTTAAATACTTAACTTATTTCCTAAAAGTCATCAAACATTTTGAGGATATAAGTGTGCCACTTGAATAAGACGAGTCATAAGAACACCAGTAGCTGGATGCCCCTACAGGGATGAGAGGCTGGGATCAGTTACCACTTATTGAGAGCGTCTTGGGAACCTGATGCTGGGCTGATCCCTGTGAGAGAGGCACGGTGTGGTCCCTCTTATGCGAGGAGGCTCAGGGAGGAATGCCACTTGGCCAAGGGCACGCAGTGAGTAAAGGGTAGAGTTCACCTCACCGTACACAGGACTGATTGATTTTAGCATCTCTATTCTTTATCCTTGAACCTGTGTCTGTTTCTGTACAAAGTGTGTGTCAAAACACCACCCCAGTAAGCGGAGTGAAGATGTGTATAAAACAGAGGCTAACATATAGTGGGTGCTTAATAAATAACGCCTATCATTGTTATCATAAGACCTGGTCTTACTTGTTCTGAAACAACTTGGTTGTTCTTTAGGCTGTAAGAAGGCAACGTAAATGCACAGTAGAAACATCAAGGAAAGTCTCGAATCCTGCTCCCTGCAGCTCCCATACAAAAACCCAAATGAAAAAAGCAGAGAAACCACCAAATTATGGTTCTCTCCCTCCTTTTTTAATAATCTCCCCAGGAAACAGGTTTGGTGAATTGGCTTTCAAAACACACATGAGATCACAGGTATTTCTGTGCAGATTAGCTCTTTAAAGAATCTGGAAGCATTTTGAAAGGAGGGAGGACAGGTTTCAGCAGTGGCGTTTTGGTGTGTTGCGGCAGAGAGGGCTCTGGGGCTGAGCGGTGAGTATGTGCAGGGATCCTAGTGCCTGTTTAGACACATATATGTTTAAAGATGGGAAGGCATCCCCCGCACTAGAATTCAGATCCGTACAGGGTGTCCAGGCTGCCCCTCTTTGGGGCTGGAGAGGACAAGAAGTCACTCTCAGTCCAGGTCTGCTCTGTTGGACGGGGTCCTTGACACTCCACTCAGGCTCATTTTCCTGGGCTCCCATGAGCTATCTCAGGCACATGCTATTCTGAAGCGCTGAAAGCCCTAAAAGTTGTCATTGCGGCCCCAGCAGCAGGGGGAGCCACTTCTGCCAAGGGAAAAAAAAAATACAACTTTTCCTCTGTGACCTCAGGGAGCAACTAGCTCAGGGCTCTCTGCCCTGGTTGTGCCTTCAAGTCCTCTAAATATTTAAAAAATTCAGCTGCCAGGCCCATATCGGGGCAATTAAATCAGAATTTCTAGAGTGGAACCAGGGTCTGGGTACCTTGTCAATGTTTCCCAGGTGATTTTAATGAGCAGCCAAGGTTAAAGGCACCGAACTCAACTCTCAACCCATTAATACTCGAGGCCTGGGGAAGAACATGACCCGGCCAAGGTCCTATGGCTTTGGCACATCATAGCTCACATTTACTACATGCTGGGCACTGCTCTAAGCACTTCACATGTTCACTCACTCAGTCCTTGCAGCTGCTCTGTGAGGTCAGTGCTGTCACTGACAGATGAGGACACTGAGGCCCAATGTGAAGAGTGACTGGCCAGACATAGCAGAGCTGGAAAGCGACAGAGCTGGGATGTGACCCAGGCCGTCAGCTGGGCCCATGCTCTCAACTGCTACATGCTCGGTAATACCCAGATACCACCAGATTTAAGGCTTTCTAGACATTCTCTCCTATCCTCACAGAAACCTGAATGGGGAAACAGAACCTCATGGAAACTGAGCCAAGACCACACAGATTGACGATTGGGCTGGATGGTCTAAAGGTCCTTCATGTGCTTTCATTCCAAGATTCAGGATCCTTGGTCTCTGGCAAAAACAACTTTGCCTCCTCAGTGGGGTGACCTTTAACCTCTTCCGCGGGTGAGGGACATTCTGAGATGACCTAGCTCTGCCTAGAACCTTCAGTGACTATGTGAGTTGGTCCTTGAACCACAGGAGGGTTTCCCGGACAGACCCACAGTGACTCCCCACAGGCTCCTCCTCCCATCAGGGCTGTCAGAGTAAACAGTGAGTCTGTGCCTCTTAGGAATTTCTTCTCAGTCTGATGTTTCTGAAGGTGAAATAAAAAAACACGTTCTCCTCTTTCCTGCCCTGGATGGGTTTCTCCTCACCGGAGGGAAGAGAACGAAGCTTTATGGGAGAAGTCTACGCCTGCGTTGTTCACTGCTGCTGCCACAGCACCCGGAGCAGAGCCTGGCACAGCAGGTGCTCAGTAAGTGTCAGTGAGGAGAAACCTCGGCGCACTGAGGGGGGCACTCTCTGGAGGCGAGAGTGAGGTCTCGCCTTGTGACAGGCAAGTCGCTCAGACTCTCAGCTCCCTCCTCCCTGGGAACAAGGGGCTGGACTGGTTTAGAAAAGGCAAGGGCTGGGGAGCCAGGCAGACATGGATTCCGGACTTTTCCCACTATTTACCAGCTGTGGGACCTGAGTAAACAGTATGACCTCTCCTGGCCTCAATGTCCCTGATCTGTAGAAGGGGTGAAATCGGATTGTGAATCAGATCATGACCGTAGCACTCACTGTGCCCCTGATTCTTAGTTGCTGCTCAGAGAATGAATGATGTTCTTATTGACTTGTCACACACCAGGGACAAAGGGCCCACCCCGTACTCACCACTCACAATGAGCTGAGTGCCAGGACCAGACCTAAACTGCACGGTGTCAGTGTCTTCTCTCCGGAACTTCACACAGTAGTAGGTCCCGGTGTCTGCTGGGGTGATGTTACTGATGCGGATGGAATAGTCCATGGTGTTTCTCTTTGTGGTGTCTGCAGCATTTGTTATTCGGGGAAAGTGACCTCCTCTGTAATTGTAGATTAACTCCCGGCCTGGCCCTGACCCCCTGAACCACTGGATGGGCCCCACGGGGTGCAGGGAGGTCAGGGTGCAGTTCAGAGTGGCCGTCTAT